ATACCTAAACATGAAGTGATAGTCAACAGCCACCCTTCCTTCCGGGGCATCCTCTCAGAAAATAAACCAAATCAAGCAAGACCCTCAAAAGCAAAATACTTGCGGTGGTACAAGAAAAAACCCAAATCCGAACATCAAATACCAAAAACTCGTGTCAGCAGAAATTCTGCTTGATGTACTGCGGCGGGCATCATGGTATCACATCTCCCCTCCCCCATGATTTTCGACAGCATCCAACATCATGCCGATCGACACTCCGAATACGCAACAACCGCAAGAAGCACCACACAACGTCAGCAACGAGCTGCCAGAAAGCAACGACAATGAAAGATATAGACGCAAAGCGCCCACCCCCGTTTAAGACAAAATGCCAAACACCAAAAGCCGACCCTCAACGAGGAATTGAACATTTAAGGCCCTTCCCACTAGAGACAAAATGCAAAGTGTCCAGCTCGCAGGTAAAACGCGACTAGGACCACCGCCCTAAAATACTCAGGCACCGATTTCGCAGGTAAAACGTGATCCGGCTAACAACGTATCCCATAAACACACCATAGCCAAATACCCGACACAAGTCACATCAAAGCAGTAACCCCCATGTGCCGACATCGCAGTCGGTTACCAACCCCGTTCCTTGTTCCATCGTGGTACAATCACCGATGTTCCCCCCCAAACTCTGGAAAAAGTAGTCCATAAGCCCACCAGTGCCAACACATGTATACCGATACTACAATACCTCGTCCCCCAAACGTGCCTCCTTCATCTCATCCGTCAAGGCGAACGTCCCGCAATGTGCTACAGGTCAAGCACAACAACAGAAATGTACAGAAATAAGCACCCAACACATCGTCTACCAGCGTGCCCTATGACACTGAAAATCGACTTCCCGTCGTTGAATGCCTTGCAAATGTTCGTCAAGTGGCTGTGGTCGAATAGCTGATCGACACAATTGCATGTTGCAAATACTCGGTTCTTAGGAAACACTGCCTGCTGTAACATTCAATATCATCAACTTTTCAGCTTTGTGTACAGCGAGCAACAGTGGTTGGCGACAAAGGTTTGCAATGTCTCTGTCTACCATCACGACCGTACGCTTGTCTGCAACAAACGATGATCAGACCTCTGCAACAAAACACACACAAACGAGATATTGAACAGCAAAACACTTTACCACGATTGTCAACCAAAATTAGAAACTTGCATCTAGAAACCGCTCAAAATATGACCCACGCCTGGAAATTTCCCCGCGTTGCGCATCGGTTCAGACTTGGAATCTTCCGCCAAGATGTCTCGGCGCCCAGCTCCCATGGCCACCAGATCCTCCTCCCCTGCTCCGCCTGCGAACGCATGCGCCCCGGCCGTCGCCGCCCCCACGCCTTTCCACGGTCGAAAGGGGTGTCCACCCCCAGCACGCCCCGCCCAACCCTCGCCCTCAGCTGTTTCCCCGTGTCGAAGGGGCGCAGCGATGCTCCAAACCAGGCCACATCGAGCCCTTCGTTGCTGCTGCTGCCGCTGCTGCTGCCGCTGCCGCTGCTGCTGTTGCTGCTGTTGCTGTTCCGGTCGCCTATTTCCTCGGCGTATCGTCCACCACCACTGCGGCTGCTACCGATGCTTCGTTTCCCCGGATCGAGGGAGCGGAGCTATGCTCCAAACCAAGCAACATCCAACCCCCGTCGTTGCCCCGGCTGTTGCTGCCGCTGCTGTTGCTGGCGCCGACCTCCTCGGCGTGCCTTCCACCATCACTGCTGCGGCTGCTGTCGGTGTCGTCCGTCTGTTCTGCCTCTTCCTGACCGATGGCAGTGGTGGCTCGACCCCCGAAGGGGACATCCCCGTCTGTTCCGGCTGCTGGTACTGATGTTGCACAAGCGGTGTTGGCGACTCCACTATCGCCACGGAGCGTTGCTCTGTTGCCGCCGTGGCCGCCGGTCCCACGGACGCCGATCCCGCCTTCCCAGCCGCCAACTCGGGCGCTCCGGCTGTTCAGCCCGCCACCGCAGCAAGGAAAACACCACCTCTGGCCGCCTCCGCCGTCGCCGCTGGGGGCGCCGCCGGTGTCACCGCTGCAGCCGCCACCGCGGGCTCTCCAGCCATTGTCCCCGCCGCTGCAGCAGGGAAAACACCACCGCTCGCCATCGCCGCGGGTCCAGCCGCGAATACGAGCGCCCCAGAAAATGTGAAGGACCAGTCTGAAGCGATTGGAAACTCGTGGGGAACTCTCCTCGCGAAAGAAGTCAACTCAGCCTCCGTGGAAATTCCCTCCGCATTGGATCATGTCGTCGCAGGCGTCGTAACGGCGTTCACATGCTGGTGTGCCACTCCATTACCCCGCATGACACAAATGTTTGAGATGTGGCCATATTCACGGCACGTGGAGCAGTTAGCCTCAAACCGCCTCGGTGTAGCACAGTGCATAGCCTTGTGTCCATGTTTTCCACACCATACACTAAACCCACCGGCATGTTCGGTTGAGGCAGCGAGTCCGGCTGATGGTACCCCGCGTTCTTCCCGCAGTCGTAACTTCCCTCAATCCCAAACTACGGCTTACCGTAGAAGGGTCGCCATGAGGCAGCATGAGGCGAGGACGGACGCCGTTGGCGTTGATACGATTGGTGTCGATACGGCAGCCGCTGCGGAATACCACCCCCACGTAACACGAAACCATTGTTGTTGCCGCTACAGGCCTTGCTGGCGAGAACCACCCCACTGCTGCTGCTGCTGTGTCTGCTGATCATTGCTACCTCCTCCCTGTAGACGCCTAGCACCACCCATGAGCACGTGACCCGTAGCCCTATCGACAAAAGGGTTCAAAGCAGGTGCCGAGTTCCGCCGCATCTCCGAAAACTACGCACGTCATCTCCAGCGACAGTTCCAGGAGCAGGTGCAGTCGCCGCAGGTGCTGCCGCATTCCGCGCTAGAAACCGTACGAAATTGGGGAAACGGACTCTCCCGCTGATTCTCGCGCGCAGCGCTTGTTTCTCCCCCCAGGAGCGATGGCTGCTACGGTTCGGCCATGCGTCACACGTCGGCCTTCCTGACGTACCAGCTCCAGAAGACGTTGCTGATCACACACACACACAATACACAGATTGGACACCACGCTGCCGTTCCGAAAGTGATACGGCTCCCATATAATACCACCCACGCTGCCGTTCCGGAAGTGACACGGCCCCCCACACAAGTTGTAAGCTGTAGCACGTCTCGCAGCAATAGACCTGTAGACGGGTTTCCTACGGGCTGAGGGCTTGCGATATTGTGCAGCATTTCCGATTCTGATGCTCTCGTGAGTCTAGAGCCCTTTTTCGCGGTTTCTCCGCCCATACACCTCCTTTCGCTGCGGGAGTCGTGTGGCTACGCGAGGGCCTCGCCCGTGCGCGGCTCGCTCTCGGGGCGGCCGTCGCCGAGCGCTACCGAGGGCAGAAGGTCGCGTCTCCGAGATCTACCGTGACTCCACCAATCAGACCCCGATTCTTGACAGCAGCGCAGGCCATTCATGCATTCGGCAAGGGGCTGGCCGTGGTGCGTATGCACTGGCTACACCCCCTCGCCACACGCGACAACCAAGCAACCAAGTCTCTGCAGGACATGAGACAAAACATTCTGCAGCTGCTGTAGTGCGTCTCTCTTTCGATCCCGACGAAAAGAGGGGGGGTCAGCGGTCGGTGTCGTGCGCACAGCTGCTGTCTGCAAAACTACACCCGCCCGAGAGAAAAAAGAAAATCATTATGCGTTGTTGGTTCAGATAAATTCTCCGTATTTCTGATATTCTCTGCTTACTTTTTTTGCTTTTACTCAGCACGCACCGCAGGAGGAAGGTTGGGCACGAAAATGAATAAATAAAAATGAGAAAAAAAAACTGGTGTTTACCCCCCTCGTGCGTGACCCTGATGTACGAAAAATATACTGAAAAGTTTAGTACTCTACCACTTAACACTGATATGTATAGTACATACACTGAAAAGTGTGGTACACGTCTCACCACGAAAAACCGGGGGACTGTCGCCGTAATAAATAAGTAGGACGACAACACACGCACACTGAAAACGTGCTACATAAGGTAATAATAAGCTAAAATAATTTTCGCTGCTGCTTTTCCTCGCCTCCCGTACTCAACCCCGGTTCTCACCACCGACCGCATGGAAGAACACACCCTACAAGCAAAATATATTCGGTTGTCTGTACCCTCTCGCTGAGGGAGGGGTGGGTAGCACACATGGGAGAGGGGGAAAGGGAGAGAGAAGCGAGCCTTTGTTTCTTAAAAAACAAATTTCTTATTGAAATACTCTGTCCTCCGGCCGTCGCATCACTGTAACTTAATTCATTGTGCGTCTCCGCTCTCGAAAAAATGAGAACAAACACTTTCGTGTTCACAACACTTCTTTGTTGTTTTCACAACAGCACTTCTCCTTCGTTCCTCTCATTTCAAAACTCAACCCGCACACACTTGCCATCGCCATAAAACCTACGAGCGTAGCGGCGACCGCGAAGCGGTACGCTGCGAAGCGCCCTTGTATATCTTGCGCTCCTACCGGCTGCCCTCAACCAGGCCCGATCGATTGTACATGGAGGCGGGCAGCTTGTTGTCAGAAGCGCAGAGCAGAGAATGTTGACTCAAGACCTTTGTATTAACGAGTGCGCAGGGCGTGCTTGCCCATGCAAGCAGAAGGGGGACCGCCCCTCTACAATCACGTAACACCAACGATACACGAAACCCCCTAGATTTCCGTAGATCCGTATCGAGTGCTGAGTACCCCCAAACAAAGCCCTCTATCGTAGTTCCCAAACCTGCACGTGTTGTAGCGAGTACTGTGACTTAATATGCCGACATTTCCAACCCGCCCTGAGGTAAAGTATTCCAACCTCCCGAGTGAGACCTGCAGCGAACACAAAATGTTAATGTTGAGATAGCGTTTGGAATAGTCGAGCCCCGTGTGCCCCTGCTGAAGACGTGATCAAATGTGAGAATGTTAGAAACGGCGACAAGTTTCCTCCGGCTCTTGCAGGGGGACCTGGCACGAACGAGTCACTTGGGGTGTGAAAAACCAGGCTGCAGTCGAAGTTGGCCGACCAGAAACGGGCCGAGCAGGAACGCGCCGGGCAGGAACGCGCCGAGCAGAGTCGGGCCGAGGAACACACAAGATTGGAGCGGGGCGGAACCAATGTCGCTCCCGATTGACGCAGTTACTCGTCGGGGAAGGGAGATGCGGAGCACGTGTTTCGGGTGCAGGTTGCTTCCTTTGCAGAGTTAGATAGTCTCACTAGAGAGAATCACGAAACTCTGGAGGAGGTGAAACGGCTCATCAGAAAACCTGCCAATAGCTGTCCCCGCGGCACTGAATCAACCGACACAGACAAGTGCGCGAGCTCGACCGGCTGGTAGCAATGGCCAAGGCTGGCGGTGAGTGCTGCAATGGGTATTTTTCTCTTGGTCGTAGTTAGAAATAGAGGCTTTACCGCTCCTTGAAAAGAATGTGTCTGTCACGATCACTGGTCTGTCGGAAGCTCCGAACCACGCACTGTTTTTAGTCGAACCGCCGAGGCGCGAGAAATCATCCCATCGGCCGCCTTGCACTACTTGCCACGGCCCAGCAAGTTTGAGTGTAGTAGGTGACTCATCGTAAACGTTTGACTGTGTCGGTGTTTGTTGTCTCAACCTCAAACCACGCGGGTTCTCCCGACACCAACTTGCCCCGATCTCGATCAAGTTATGCAAAAATGTTGCCTATCCGCCGTCAAACTGAAGCCCCGTCCCGTGTACAGGTTGAACGCGCCCTTCGGGGCCCGGTACGGCGCGCGCCGCACGCATGTAACCTTTTCGGCCCTCGTTTTCAATTTTTCATTAAGTATTGGTTGTCTGTATGACCAGATTTTTCGTTTCTCAACGTCTCTCGGTGTGTGATGTACCAGCACATGAGAGGACACCTTGGCGTTTTGAACTGGGATGAGCGGTCGTCCCCGTCGTGCGCTAGACAGCAGCGCTAGGCCACCGGAGTCTTTTAGCGTGACACGGCAGTGAGCGTTGTGTGACGTACGTATGCGTTGACGACCCTCTTCTATTGTCGGAACTTCATCATCACCTCTCTGATCCGTGCACAACCGGATGGTATGTTCACCCTGCGACAGCGAACGATGTTGGATGCAACAAGAAATGAGCACGCAGAACGGTTACACCCAGTTGATTATTGTTGAGTTCAAGTGTTTCTCTGGTCTTCGCTCTCGACATCAGATTGAGAGGTGATCGTGTCCGTATTTGCTTGTCTCACGACAACACCGTTGGTACACACCGCCCCGCAACATGACAACACCACCGCGACCTTAAAGAAACGATCGAGTACCTCTCAGAGGATTATTTATAGGTATGCTTGGCTAGGCAGGCCGTGTCGCCAACGGGTATTTCTCTTGATCGTAGTGAAAATGGGGAAGAGCTTTTCTGACACTGTCCAGCCGAAGGCCGTATTGCGTATTACGCACCGCACAAGATAAAGAGTTTCCAATTTGTTCGTGACATTTTGTGCGTGTCCCCGATGGTCGTCTTCGACTTGACGCGAAATTTCGCTTTGTTGCTCAACTGCGCAGTCGAGACACCTGGAACACAAGAGCATACAGCAGAAGGAGCTGAACTTACCGCCGGGTTCCAAGGCATACTTCACCATGGTTAGAACCGGTCTGTGTAACGCATACCTCGCTTCAAGCGTCGTCCGCAGTAGCTTGGTCCGTACAAGCAAGTCCGGTGGTATGGGCATGGTGAGTGCTGAGGTTCGACGTTTTGTATATTCGTTAAGCGCTTTCCCTACACTGTTTTCTGTGCAATGTTCTTGGTGCCCGTTCGCCATATCGAAGCCCGACGTGCTAGTTTCCCTCTTGCAGGCTGGAGAGGTAATGCAATTGCTCTCTCACGCGGTTCCCGTGGTCGGTGGACTAGCGAGCTTCGCAGCCGCAGCTTTGAAGGCCGGGGACCACCGCATGCAAACTCGCCGAGTGGTCAAGGTGAACAGGTTTTCATGGCTGTGGGTTTTAGGGTACCTCGGCGTCGTTGGTAAATACTGTACGCGTCCAGTGTAACATCTCCAGCCTGCGACTTACGTTCACAATCGGCCCACCGGCCTCAACCAACTTTTTGATGATTGGCAGATCACCGACCTGGCAGCTGATGCGGTTGAGTGTTGTTCGCTGGCGAGGAGATTGGCCATACGAATGACGGACGGTCTTGCCGCCGGCACCATCTCCACGACCGAGAACTCAGTCGGTAAGAATGATATTCGAACGTACCACAGGGTTATTCGCCTGGCACGTCCCTTGGTGGGCAGCACCGTCGCACGCAAGATGGTATGATGTAGAATCCAAAGCCATCCATCCACGTATTGGTGGTGTGTGTTGACCATGGAACTTTGAGCAAGATAATTTTTTTGTTCATGGTGTGTTTCAGATTTTCTTGTGAAACCTGCGAGTTGCGTTCAGCCGAGGTGGAGTACACGTTGCCCGGTGACTGTTTGGGTGGGATACCCCCAAACTCTGTTCCTGCACACACGAAGCAGATCCATAGCAGTCGGGAAGTTGGAGGAAGTTGATCCCAATTTCATTGTTGGTACATAGACAAAAGTGGGTATACCGACCCCTTTCTCCGACCCCTTTCTCGGTACTCAAAAACGGGCTTTCCGGAGACTACTGGTGACAGGGCACAACGACTCAAAGTATAATTCCGATGCATGGAAAACATGGGCAGAGCCCATGCACAGCATGAACATCAACGTTTACGGACTTTCGGGCACGTCTTCACCCTATACAACGCCGCGGTGTACGAGGCCTCAGCGTTGCCCGATTTTGTCCGAAATTCCGGTGGATATTCCCACCGAAATTTACTATTTTTCATGTATGCATACCCACCTTGGTCTGCTGTGTGATCCACTTTTGCCCGAAATGTACCCACTCTTGTCCGAATGTGTACCCACCTTTGTCCGATTTTTTCATTCGAAAATCAACCTACACGTCACCGCACGGGGGAACTTTTCGAATGGAAAAAAATTGATAAGAGTGGGTACGTTTCGGACAAAGGGGGGTCACACAGCGGACAAAGGTGGCTATGCATACATAAAAAAATGTAGATTTCGGTGGGAATATCCACCGGAATTTCGGACAAAATCGGGCAACCTGTTGAGGCCTTGTGCGCCGCGGCGGTGGTGTAGGGTGAAGACGTGCCCGAAAGTCCGGAAACGTTGATGTTCATGCTGCGCATGGGCTCTGCCCGTGTTTTCCATGCATCGGACTTTTACTTCGAGTGGTTGTGCCATGTCACCAGTAGTCTCCGGAAAGCAAATTTTCGAGTACCCACCTTTGTCAATTTCCCTTTATTGTTTGTCGTTCAGGGTACTCTACACACGCGGTCACGTGCGACATCTCAAACCCACCGGAGAGCTAATATTGGCGCAACACCTAAACCATAGACGACCGCAGTCCACAAACCGCTTGCTGCGATCCGTGTCTCAGGAGGGCGCGGTTGGAATCTGGGCATCGGCGCGTTGCCAGACGGTACGAGCGAGGAAGTCGTCATGGAATGGTTCACGGGAGAGGTGGCGAACCGCGAGGCCAACACCACCGCAAGTAGAGGGACCCCCGAAGAACAGGTAGAAGGGAAGGAACAAAGGAACTCAGCGCTTCGGCCTTCCGTGGCGCCCAATCTTGCAGAAGTTTGTCCACTAACTACTTTTGCGTGGGTAATGTCGGCACCATTATTCATACCACACTTTTATGGTCACCGGTCTTGACAGGCTGGGAGGCGGCTCGGGAAACAGCACCTCAAGGAGCTACTGGTGGCGGTGGGCCGGGGCCGTCTCCAAGGCACGAACACTACAGAAGAGAAGGTGAGAGGCTGCTGTGTGCACAAACCCACCGGACGCGCTCGTTTTGCGTCTTGCCGTGGTTCTTCAGCGGCCGCAGGTTTTTGGCCGCGCGACCCAGGTTCAGACTTTGATCCGGGCCGGCAACGACTGCGTCTGTGGCTCTCGGAGACTGCGCCCTCAGGGTGAAAATGGGTAGCATGCGAGTGACACTTCTTCGACAAAGAGTTTTCATCGATTGGCCTCTCGTTTGCTCAAGCACTTGCTTTGGACACACGGTGATCTAAATAGGTTGAAATGCTGCTGGAGGCCATCGCCGGCGGGTCCAGCAGTAGAGTCACTAAACCCCCCCGTGCGGAAGACAAATCGTTGGTGGAGTCTCCTGCGGTACCAGCTCCATCCCACGACGGCGGCTTGGATCGGGACGCGGAATTCGCCGCTCTCAAAGCAAAATTTGAAGCACTAGAGCTCGGCGATGAGAGGCGGCAAGCAAAATTGGAAGCACTAGAGCTCGCTGAAGAGAGGCGGCAAGCAGAATTTGAGGAATTGCAGTCTGACAACAAGCAGCTTCTGGCCGAGGTAAGTCGAAGTCCTGATTGCTTGCATTGCTGTGTACGTGGGGAAGCGAACACCGGGGGTGGCCGTGACGAACGTACGAAGTATTTGGTTTTGTTTGAAGAAGTGAAAGCATCTCGTCTTTGTTCTCCGCGGTCACGTTTACCACTTATTTCTTGTACCGTCTCCGGCTAGGTGGACACCATGAAGAAACTCATTCCAAAGCCCCGAGGGGGACAAGCGGCTGCGTGGATGCCGGTGAGGCCATCTGTTTTTGCTGCATGGCCATCATCGCGAGAACTCCACATGTACAGAGCAGAGTGGCAATCCCATATGGCCTCTCTCTCTGTGGTGTCTATATAGTCGGTGGTCTCAGCTTGGTATTCTTGAAACCGTGTGCCGCTTTCCCATGAATTACAGATTGTATCGTGGCAACAAGACGCCTCTTTGGTGCCCACTAGACGTGAGAGCTCGGCTTCACGCGACCTTCTCCACTGATCGCCATACTGGACTTATTTTTTCGCCCATTTGCCCAATGGTGACCACTTTCATAAGGAGGAGGGCAGGTTTTTGCTCAAAAGCAGTAGATCAAGACCAAGGAGGACTTTTGGCAGGAGGCGGAGAAAACAGGTGTGCCCAAAAATATATATATTTGGCTGATGAAAATAGACGGAATCGTTTACACCAAAATACCTACTGTGCGCCACGAAGTGCTCAAGTGTTGGGGTGTCGCGTCTTTCTGCAAGATTTCGCTTGTGATTCCTGCCAGATATCGGTTAAGGGCCCAAGTATATAACTGAGTATTGACGCTCAGCAGATGTATGCATACCAATACGTCCTCGCTGCTTGCTCCAATAATCAATTTTGTCCTAAATATCCGCTTTAGAATATGGCGAAACCTACGATGTTGAAACACAAGTAGTACCAGCCACAGACTCGGCCGACGCACCGGTCGTAATTATAAAAAAATTATACTCCAATCGCCTTGAGGCGGTGGTGATAATGATCCAAGCCACGTCCCCACTTCAGCTCTGGCAGCACTGCGGTCGTGCTAATAAAACATCCTAGGCAGTTTGATGGCGTCGGTTTCTTTGCGCTGGCACTCACTGAATTTCACATTACCCGCTTGATTCCTCGGTGTCATCTAAAGGTCAGGCCACATCCCTATATATGACTCAGGTCTCGATCGGAAAACAGCACAGATCTTCTTGGCTGTTTGCCATGTCTTCGATCGCGTTCGCTCTATTGGATCTGACGGGGTTATTTTTCCTTTTAATGCGGAACTTGAAAGTCGCAGTACTAAATCATGATTTGAAGAACTTATGCTGTAAAAGCAACCCACATTTTGCCGCTTCCTCTGGAGTTTTCCCCTCAAACATGTGCCTGGTGCGTTCGGGAGGGCTCCGGACAGAAGGAAGGTTACTTTACATTTTTATGGTTTATCCATAACGACAGGGCTTTGGTTTAACAATATCCTCTCCTCTGGAGTCGGCATTCCGTAGTATCCTTGTCGTAGCCCCCCTCCATGTCGTAGCCCCCTACCCCCCAAAATACCGCTGGGGTACACAAAAAATTGCAGCCCCGGGGTTCCCGTTCTTTTTCCCTTGTCTTGTTTTTTGCCCCTCTACGTTTGTTTGCGTTAGCCCCGGGGTGTTCTTGGCAGATTGGGGCGCCCCACGGGGCGTTCGCACGCAAACCCACGACATTCCATTGTGGCAGCATTTTCGGGTGTGTACCAGTTGCCGTTTTTGTTGTTGTGGGTGATTTGGTGTTGTTGTCAGTGTTGGTGTTCCCGACGTCGTTTTGGTCAGCGCCTGTCTGGTGTTGTACAGGTGCATCACAGCAAGAAAGAGACAGCGCTCCCTAGAGACTTTTCGCCCCGGTTTTTTGTTTGTTTGGCAAGGATGGTCCCTCTACCTTTGTCGTATCCCCAGGTTGTTTGGTTTCAACACAATCAAAAGATTGCCCCCCGGGGCTACGACAAAGAATCTTATGGTATCTGGGGCTGAACGCCGCAATTTTACACCGATCTGATTATTGTGTTGAGAACTAGGAAGGAGCCGTGACCAGCTCTGCACGGTTCACACCGTTCCGACTCTTTGTTCCTGTCTTGTTTTTGCCCGGTTGCTGGTGCTGTCTTTACCAGCGGCGGCGGCGACGGACCACCAGCTGGTGACCCACGACCAGCTGAAAGAGTTCGCGACGCTGCAGGACGAAAGGCATCGCGGGCATGATGATAGGCATAGCGAACATGATCCCACCCACAGCCGGCATCAGAGGGCACTAGACGCAAAGAAGAACAAGCCAACATGTGAGTTGGTTCGGTGGACGGGTTCTTGGGGGCACTAATGCGTGTGCCCCTTGACCTCGCTCGTTTACGTTCCGTGCGCATTTACTTGCATAGAGCACACTCGGATAGAAAATACTTTTTTCAGAATGGTGGGCTAGGATCTCCTCGAAATCTACCAAGGCGAGGTTATGAAACAAGGACCGTACAGTGTGCATATTGCTGGTAAGTTTTCGGTCTTCGGTCACGGGTAGGGGTGCTCAAGGGTTGGTCGCCTCACGCGTTTTGAACGTCAAAAATGAACCTGAGGGTTGCTCTTACTCGTGTGTGTTTGGATTGTTTGATGACTCTGTGTACTTTCAGGTTTTTGTTTTGAGGAAAACACATGGCCACTTCTTTTCCAATCTCGTTTGACAACGCCACCAAGTAAGCTTGGTTTTTCTTCCCAAAGTGAGACATATAATTCTTGACCCGAGAAGGACTTTTCTTATCGCGGGGCAGCCGCTGTAAAATCTTGCTTGTCAGAAGTCTGGCGGAGTTAATCGAACGTATGGTTTCGTTCAAGCCGGCCGTCATGACTTGTACGCAAGCACAACAAGCGGACGCTTTCCGGAGGTCTCGCGCACAGACTAGTTGCTATGTTTCCTTCTCTGCGCCGTTCGACAACCCCTCTGTCCTCGTCGTGCACATAGAGCTCTATTATACTCCCGTGCACAGCTCATTTTGCATCACCTGTTTGTTCTCGTGCCGGTCACCGGGCCGCGTGGAAGCGTCAGCTCTGCTGGTGATTGTTTGCATAACTTATTACAATGAGTTCGTAGGCTTCTCCGTTGTTTGGCTTCGCAAAAGCTAGCTAACTCAGTTTTATTCCCCACTGCGCGGTTCATTTCCCCACCACAAGCGACGCCGCTGCGGACCAAGGTTCGTATTGCCGCGAAACATTGTCTTCCATATTCGACAACGGGAAGAAAACAAGCCGCATATACGCTGCCGGGCACTATCCCGTTGTGTTGCCGGGAATTCGTACTCTTTCGCAGGGCGCAGATGACCCTCCACGACGAGCACGGTCGACTGTCAAGCCATGGTCACCACCACTCTGTGCGCCTGCAGATTCGGGTCCAATCGCGATGTGCTTCAGCTGTGCGCAGTACGCGTGAATGGAAACGCTTTTTTCCTTCCGACTAGCTTACGTCGGAAGAGGGCAGGTTTTTTTCTGAACGGGGTGTGTAGGCACATGTGTTTGGCATCAGGACCCCCCAAGACAGGCATGGGAGTGTGTGTGACAAATGACCAGGTGGAAAAGAACAGTACACCCCAACCTGGCTCGGGGGTACGTACATGCGTGCGTGCAATATATCTTTGTGTTGCGTGCGATTTACCTTCGTGTCGAGGTTGGCGATCTTCTGTTTCATGTTTGCTCCCAATTGTTGCTCCTCTTACTATAGCTTTTCTCAATTTTCGCTGACCTTGCATTGGAGAGCAATCGGCCCGGCCCTTCGATTTTTCTTTTTTGCTGTTTCTGTTTTTCTGGTTTATTCTTGAAATCGTTTCGGCGCCGGCGTCATTTGTTTGTTTAGTGTCGTTGTTTCGATTTCTTCTGCATTTTATACCTTGTTTAGCGTCAGAGGCTGTGGAGAAAGGTTGACTCAAGACCTTGTTATTATCGAGTGACCAGCAGGGCAAGCAAGCCCTGCACACTTGAAGGGGGTCCGCCCTTCCAGTAAGGTATACCAACCTTACATAGAGGAAGTTTATTTATACATCAGGCGGCGGACGCTGTTTATTGAACCGGTCGAACTTGCGAGAGGCGGTTTATTCTGTTGCATCTTGGGGTATCATATCTGGAGGACCCCGTTGGAGTGGTCACTTTCTCGGAGAGCTATGTACAAGTCGTCAAGTTCGCGTCTTGAATCGTCAAACATCCATGTGGGCACGCGCACATCTCCACAAGGTACAGTAGTACCAAAAACGTCAAATTTGCCACAGGCGTTTTATGTTCCTGTGTGTCGGGGGTATCATATAGGGAGTAACCCTTTGGAGTTGTCGTTTCTCTCGGAGAGCTACCGACAACTTCGCGTCTTCAACCCTCGAACTCTGTCCTGTGATAGCTCACCTTCCTGCGCTCCCTTCGCCGCTCTGCCGCCGCAATCCGTGGCCTTCTCCACCGCACGCTGCCGCTTTCGCTCCGCCCGCTTCCGAGAGATCTCAATGTTGACTCCCGTCAAGGCCTCGAGGAAGCGGCCGCTGCCAACCTTCTCCAGGAGTTCCACCACCTTGGGGTGGGGCGGCAAAACGGTGGGGGGGTGCGTACTCTCACGTTTTGCATGCCTTAGCGGTTACCGTATACGACACAAGACAACACACACCCTGGACCGATTATCAAAGCTAGACTTCTCAACAGCAAAAAGAGTCACAGCGCCAAAAACGGTGGCGCTGAAGCCGTCTCGTCGAGAGCTTTCCCAAAAACGTATCGTTTCGTTTATGCGTCCTCTTCGTCGTGGAGTACGCGAGCTCTGAAAATCAGTCCAGGGAGTGTGTTATCTTGTGTCGTATACGGTAGACCATTGACCACGCGTCGTCGACAGGACGAAACGGGGGGCGGCGGCGGAGCGGACAAACGGGAGGGAACACACGTCGAAGAGGGGAACAACAGAAAACAAGTCTCGCCGCTTGTACCACCCGGCAGTGACAACGCCAATATAGCTGCACCTTTCGAAAGACGCTCTGGCGATCGGAAAGTGGCAACGCAACAGCTGCCTGCACCTTCCGACAACCACACTCTGGTACCTGCTTCGTTTGAGCGCCACTCTCCACTCACCTCCGTCGCTAACTCCGCAGCAGTTTGATCCTTCTCAGCAGCTGCGCCCCTCCCCCGCCACCGCTACAGCCACCGTCGGCATGAGACCCCCCAGCCTTGTGCTCCACCCCGCCCGCCTCGGCGTCTAACACCGCTCTCCGCAGCGGCAGAAGCATGAGCTTCAGGTGGGCCACGGAAACGGCGGGGTCGTGGACGGCCACCATCGACAGGAACCAGCTGAACACCGTTTGCCTCCGCGCCTCTCCCTTATACACCACATGCGGTTGACCACCCATCTCAACGGGTCTGCGGCACAAGACGTGGTAGCCTTACCGCCGCCGGCAGGAGAAGAATCGGCAAAATCGGCGGCGGTGGCGGCGGCGGCATCTCCGCCGTCATCGTCAACCCCCTCGCTGTAAGCCTTCCTACCGGGGGCGTGCAACGCCGCTCTCAGCGGTGGCGGCGGCGGTGGCGGCGATGGCGGCGATGAAGATGATGGGCTGTTCGATCGGCTACTGGAGGCGTTGCTGTACCCGCATGCCTGGGTGCGCCTCGCGGCCGCCCGCGTTTGGGGATCATTCTTCTCGAAAAGGGATCCAGGGACCCTGGCCGTAACCACCGGCGGTGGCGGTGGCGGTGGCGGTACGGTGGCGGCGGCCAAGTAGAGGGGAGCCAGACACCGAAGCGAGTCCTAGGTGGCTCAACACCCAGGAAGTTGAAAGGGAAAGGCCGAGGCCAGCGGCGGGGTGATGTTGCCGGGGATGGAGCTGAGGAAGGCGACGGGGGGCAGGAGTTCCTTCGACGGGCGTGTCATGTTCCGTCTGTGCCAGAACCTGTGCTCTCAGCTCAACAGGTCGCAGGTGCGTGTCACAGGGAAGCAGTAGATGAGAGTGCCACGGGTTGGAATAAATGGCATTAGTGCTGTGAGCGCTGATTTGAAGTGAAGAAAAAAAAATATATATAGTCGTCACTATCTTCCGCAGTGTGAAACGCACGTGGGAAACCTTGGTCATCATACGTATGTCAAGTGGTATGCTGTGTGGTGATGCCTGTCCTCGTCCTCTGACATATGTCTCCCAAGCCGCATGTATGTCCCTTTAGAGTAAAAGCCTGTATTGAACTTGGCTTCAGTTGGAAAGTGTCCCCGTAAATTTCGGAACAATTTTCTGCCTAAAACCAAGTCACCCTTCGTCCCTCGGGATGATTTTGTTTCGACCAATAACCTGAAACTAACAGGGTTCTTACAGGCTCAACCGCAAAAACATCCGTCCTTCCATGTTTCCCATGTTGTTCGTATGAAGAGCGGTCATGGCTCCATCATTGGCCATCTACCCACCTTTGTCGTCTGACCTTTTGTTTTCTATCCAGTCTGGAAGTCGAGCAAGACGTTTGGGCAAACCTTAGTCTCAACTCCGGGACAACAACAACAAATGGGCATCAAATCGTGGTGTCGCAAGACGAATCGTTGGTGAGAGCGGAATTTGTGCAAGCGCGTCAAACGAATGTCAGAGAATTGGCAGCGACACGTGTTGACCAAGGTGGATGATTTCTCCTTTGGTGACATTCGTTGGTCCCTGCAGAAGTCTGAGAATGACGACGGTTCCACACCGCGATCAATACATCGGCAACAACAAGTGGTAGAGTAAGTAAATTTTGGACCCATGCCAACCATTCGGTTGTCAGGTCCATTTCGAAACGCTATTACGGTAGATTGCAATATCCAATTGGAAATTTCCTGAGTATGACCGACAGCAGCGCAAGTCCCATGTCTGTGTACCACCGTTGATAATATCTGACGGATTAGGTGCGACTCACAGCTCGAACACCGCCGGTACACCGCTGAGCCTTGAAGCTAAGGGATTCGACCCTACGAAACGGTCCTGACCTCTTGCACCTGACACACCCACATCTAATAGTTGAGGGCCCATCGTCTTGCTTTGTCGACCCCGGCAATACGTTTGGGTTGCCCGGTTTTGCCACCTCGTTTGACCCAGCACCCCGTGTGCACGATTGTGAAGGTAGACATGTGCAACGGATTCGGCTTCCGCACCCTGTACACATAGATGTGCCTCACGATGCTCTTCTGAACTGGTATTTACTGCGCGCCGTTGGGGCTGAAAGCCCTTAGCTCAGCAATGACTCTTTGAAGGTGATGTCTGAAGCTCATGTTAGGGGCAATTTTTGTTCATTCCTTGTCGATCTGTCAACGGATCCCTTCCTAACACGATTGGTGGCGTCAATGGAAACAACAGATCATGACAGTGGACGCCGACTACACGAAGCTTGTAGCTTGGTCCAAGGTCGACGGAACGTATGCTCTGGCGGGTGTTTACGATAAACCATCAAGTTCCGGAGATTTGAGAGGCCTGATGCTGCACCTCGGGCTTCCAATTGTCTACGTAGGTCATCCACGTTTTGTGGGCGCTTTTCTCACGTCGTAGCGCATTCTTGTGACAACGAGGGATTTAGTTGCAGTCCTCACGAAATAAGCATCGGCTTCTTTGCTGGTCTAGCTGACGAGATATTCTCCCAGGAAGAACGACCTAAAATATATGCTGGAATGTAGCTGCCGGTTTGATCTTTCTCAGGCACAAAAGTGACTTTCATAGTGTATCACGTACTGCATATCACCCTTTGTGCGCCAAAGCAGCTATAACCCGAGACCAGCGGTGCAGCTCGTACGAGCAAGGGGCACCCCGACACTCGTTGGAAATCGTGCCAGTTGTTTCGGGCCGAACGGGAAGCGCCGATTCGCTTATGTTTCACTCATCTTCAGTTTTTACGCCATTGCACGGAAGCGCACGAACTTCATTGACATTGACCCGTGCCACCTTGTCGCCACCCCATTGAATCCAGACCATCAGCACCGACGAGAACGCTGGAACTGACGAAGTCTTCATCTACGAATTCGACAGCGGGAACGCTTCTCTGTCCGTGAATGGCTCTGTTCAACTCATAAGCGGGTTGGCAAATCAAGCTGACGTCCTCGTGGATTCGGCAGTCAGCGCCTCTGGGATTGCAGGCAAGACATGCTTGACGTCACGAACAACCATGGACGTATGCCGAATATGTGAAATATTGCAATGGGCGCCGCTGGTTCTTTAGAAACCGCACAAATAAATTGCATAGTAGATCACCGTGAAATATTAATAAATGTACTAGGTCTTGTTCCGCTCCTATCCCGCCTCGTACTTCCGCGTTCTTTTCTAATTTTCCGAAAATGCGAGCAGCCATCGTGGGAAACAAAGGCGGAGTGCGGAGGTTTTTCCTCGATGGCGTCGGGGATTTCGGGTGCGTCGAATCAACGTAGTCTTGGCGTCAGGTGGTCCATTGTTTATGAGTGCCACGACGCGATGGGAGGCGTACATGCTGCATGAAACGCTTGAAAGGCCTATTAATCGAACCGACAACGCCCGCTCTGAAGAAGCCCAAGTCCTCCACCGAGGGTTTCGTCGCTTTTTGTCATTGACATTATGCCTACCAGAGCACAGTACAATGTTGGCGTCGTGTCGCCCAGGAGTAGCTTTGGTTTACTTCGTCAGGGTGCTTGTGCAGCAGCGTACCCACGTAACTCTCGCCTGATCCTCCTTTGGTTCGTTCGCTTTTCAAACGCGGCGTGGAACCGCAGGGTGGCTATGCACTACAAATTTCTAGGTAGAAATTACGCGATCGACGGATCAGCATTGGCATTCAGCCCCGATGGGTCAATTGTCTATATTGCATCGGATGACCAAGAAGTCTACGCGTACGTTAGCGCCGGCGACAATGACATCTCTTTCATGTGGTCCACGGCCGCAGCGGACAATGACCTGTGCGACATCGTGGTTTCTCCAAGCGGGCTTTCGGTGAGGCATGACCGATAGACTTGCCATTACAACAGTACACGCTAACGTGAGCGACGTTTGCTAAACAACAACCACTGAATCTCGGTTTGGCTACCATCCTTTACCTCTGCCATAGTTGAGGGCAACGACACCCTGATACTTTGGTCGATGACGATCACCGTCGTACCCATTCGGAATGTGTGGCACATGCGCCCTGGAGCGTTGTTTGGTCTGCCTGTCATCTCCTGAACTACGCTCCACAGCTGCAATTCTTGCTGGGGAGATCCAACCCTTCACGAACAAGGCACACAGTCTCGGACAACGGCATTATTTACGCACGCCTTACGATTGAAACAGATGCGTACTCCATTGCTCGTGACCCTGTACTTACGGCGTTCCCCTTTCACATTTGACGCAATTTCGGGGATATCGTTGGAACAGATGTTCTCCAATTGACAGAAATGGGTTTCTTCCTTCCCACGAACTCATTTGTGTGTTTCTTCTCTCTCCGCACATTTCGTACAATATACCCCCACGAGCTGAATCCTGGGAGGGAATATCCCCTACTATGCACGACCCCCAGGTGTATGTTCTAGGCTGCGCCAACTCTGTGGTTATTCATCTCCAGCTTGACGAAACGACCGGCGAGGTTCTATCAACAGGAAGCTACGCTGCCAACTCCAGCGTCGCAGGCAGCACATCGGGGAGTGTATTCGCTATTCAGGCAATCGAGTTGGCTGTCATGGTCGGACGTTCTGACTCGGATGAGGTCACACAGAAGAGCCCCTCTCTACCCTCCCCTCCTGCGGTACTTCGCCTTCAATTTTTAATGCGAGAAGAGTTTAGCACTCTCTTCCCTCTGTGTACACACGAACTAGCGCTATCCACTTGGCCAGGAGCGGAAGCGAGAGAAAAACTCACTTTGCAAGAAAAGCTCGCCTACGCCGGGATTCGAACCCTATGGACAGGACGGCGTGGAAAACGCCTTCCCAGTCACCATCCGCTCCGCCGCCGCCGCACGGCCCCGCGGCGCCGCCAACTGAACCGCCGGCGTCCCCCCAGCCCGCGCTCCTGGTCGCGGCAATGTCTTCGGCGGCTAGCCGCGGGAGCATCAAGGACAGCGCCGACAGCATCCAAGGCAACCGGCCCCCGCCGCCGGTCCCCGCCGCCTTCCGCACGAGCTCCGGCCTCGCCTGTACGAAAATCCCGCAGGCCTGAGCGGCCGTTCGCCGGAGCCCGGGGTCTTCTTCCCCCCCTCCCGCCCCCGACGGGGCCCCCGCATCCTTCTCCCCGAACCACTGCCCCGTGAATTCCAAGAGCTCCTGGAACACAGCAGGGACACGCGGCCAAGAAGGGTCCGGACGGCGGTGGACGCGGCGGCTCGGCACTCCGCCGCTTGATCGCTGACCAGGCGAACCACCAGGGCGAGGTAGAAGACGCTGGAGAGCTGGTCGAGGTTGGGCTCCGGGAGCCGTCGGAGGAGCTGGGAGCACAGGTTAAGGGCCGCGAGGCGCCCCTCGGCGTGTTCGTGGGAGACCCTGCTGACGATCTGATTAGTCGGGTCAAATTGAAGCAGGGGGGTGGGGGGTGTACTCACGTTTCGGAGCGATGCTGTAGTTGCTAGACCATTGGCCACGCGTCCTCGAGAGGAGCATTGTTCCTACAGGACCGATCACCGATGGCCAATCGTTCCTTGCTACTTTGCCAAAGGAGGCTCAAAAACTGTCTTCCCTATATATCGTAGGAACAATGTTCTTGAGCGCGCGGGGGGTTGACAGGGCAAAGAGAGGGAGAGAACTTTGTGCAAGCAACGGAGAAGGTAAACGGTCGGCAAAAAGGCCATGACCGTCGTCTTCTTGGGGTATATCAACAACTGTCACACGTAGTGTTGAGGACAACCAGAGGGCAACAAACGCTTCAGAACAAGGTATACAACGCAGCTCGAAGAAGAAACTTCGCTCAAACAGCCGTAGCAGCCCTTGGCGTTAAATATGAAGCCACCCCCGTGTGCGCTACATACCGAGACATGTTCCTCGAAACAAAAACTAAACAAGTTGTCTACACGTTTGTTGTCTCTCGTTGTTGTCTCTCGACTTGATCGCTCCGTTCAAGCACGCCACAAAAAAATCTGAACATTTCCTGCAGACAACAGTAGGGGCACGGCATACAGCACCCGTGGCTCCTCCAACCCGACCCCCCCCGCACGCAAAGGCAACCAATCACCGACGGACCTGGTTGAGGCGAAACTGCAGCCGTTTCTCCCCCGGGAGTAGTGCAGGAGGAAGGTCAGGAAGGTCTGGCCGGAGGTGGCGCGCAGCGTCGGTCGGTGGCTCGTGACCGCTAGTTCGGCAAGCTTGGTCATGAGGTCGTATACCTGCCGTAGGCCACATACAGCAGCGGTAGTGCGGGCCCGCACAGTTAAGGAAACATATGCCAGACAAAAAAGGCTCGACAGTCCGCAGGGCGCAGCAAAACACGTTTGCTTTGACCGTTACAACAATCAGCAGGACGCACCAAAACACGTAGACTTTAGCCGTACATACATGTCATCGGTTGCATAAGGTAACACGCAATGGGCCAATTTTCAAAGCCAGCTTACGCTGCAGCAAAAACAGCAGTGACGGTGCCGCCAAATATGGCGGCGTTGGAACCGTCTTGTCCAGAACTTTCCGACAACACATCACTCGATTGTGGCAGCATCCTCTCTCTTCGTCGTGGAGGAATCGAGAGCTCTGCAAACCGGGCAGTCCGGGGGTTGTGGTATATTACGTCACCTTCGTTAGCTCAACTGCTGCGTATTACACGATGAGACGCCTCAAGGAACTCCTACACGGATATCGGGCAGCATGGCTCTCCGGGCAACTATTCGTGCTTTGAAAATCAGTTCATGGGGTGTGGTAACTTACGCAACCTACGGTAGACAGTTCGAGCTTCTATCGTGATGGATGTGGTGCCCAACGAGGAGATTGGGGGCTTTTCTCTGCCGTGTGCGAGCGGTCTTATCTGTGAGCCCATGACCGCCCAACCTACTACTTCCTGCCCTATCGACGTGCCTTAGAAGAGAATAACACTGACACGGACCTCGGGCAGCATGACTCTCCGGGCAACGACGGCCTTGATCAGCGTGAAGGTGGCGTTCTGGTGCACTGTCTCCGCCACCGCCATCTGCAACACAACCAGGAGGGCCCTCAGCTGCTTCGGCGACAGGCCGAACAACCCTCCCCCCTCCCCTTCCGCCGCCCGGCCTCCTCACCAGGGACCCCAAACACCTGCACCTGGCTCTTGAACAGCATCGACAGAGCCTTGAAGCACGTCTGGCCCATCTCTCCCCTGATGCCGCCGACCCCGCCCCTCACGAGGCGGGCAAGCACGTGCCGCCCCACAAGGGGAGCGCAACGCTTCATCGACGGCAAGTCCCATTGTCCACATGTCCTCGAGAGGGTATGAGAGTTCTTGCCGATGCACATGGATTATATTTATTGTGTGTGCGCGCGGGCGGGTATGTGCAGGCGGGCGGGCGATGGGGGGCGGGGGCGGGGGTCAGGTCAGCAGCGGCGCAAAAAAAAGGGGGGGGGGGCTTTCACGGGGATTCAGGCCCTCCATGGGAGCTCACGGCCTGTTGCCCCCCAAAACAAGGGAAACACAAGTTCGAACTAGTACAGTACGTACGCCTACAGACACCGGCTTGAGCGCTATCCACGACGTATTCCATTCTCAACATTTAATACTCATGTGCATACACCCAACAGGAAGTACCCCGTACCGTATGCATACCTCGTTAGTAGCGGGACGAACGGGTCCGCCGTGGTCCGCACCGCCTCCCCCCGCCTATCCATCGCCGCCACCCGTCTGCCGGCCCCCCTTACCGTCACCTCCGCCTTCAGCCGCGAGTGCAGCAGCCCCATCGCCAGCGTCACCGCCCCGAGCGCCGCGGGGTCGCCCAGGTCCACCCCCCTCACCCGCGACAATGACGGTGATGATGCGGCGGAACCTCCCACTGTCGGACGCTGGCGGCCGGCGGCGCGGCCATCGTGACGGTCACGCCCGGTGTGCTTGGAAGCGCTAGCGCCATCCAAGACTTGCACGGACTCCCACTCTCGCCCGGGGAGGCGGGAGTGGCCCTTCAGGTTACCCTCGGAGGCCATCTATTATTATTATTGTTGTTTTTTCGGTGGAGGGGAGACGGGAAGAGAAGTAAGTAGGCGAGATTGGGGGGGGGGCATAGTTGTGCATGCCGTAGTCGTTAGACCATTGACCTCGCATCCCTACAAAGCCGGGACGGAGCATGCCGGGTTCTCACCGGACCAGGCTCTCACATCACCAAGCGCGAAGCACCGTGAGGTATTTGGTGAGTCGCATGAAGGGTGAGCTGCATCCTGCTAAGGGTGTTCGGCATCTTGTGCTTAATTCCTTGCATACGGATGACAGCTGCGTATGACTTAATTTATTTTCTGGTGCGTTCACTTCCAGAGACAGTTATAAGCAGGGCGTAGCTGCCTCGAGGATGCTTGACCAATTTAACACAACGTGGTGCGATCATCCCCCTTGCGCGGAGTGAGGTTTCTCCACCCCGCACAACATGATCTACTCGACCACCATTATGGTTACCGCCAAAAAAAAAACCAGAGGTAAAAAAAAAAACGGTAACCTGGTTGCCGAGTTCACGAAGTGAATTGGCTTCTTTTACAACGTCGTTGCCAAGCGACGAAAACCCAATCCCGATGGCAAACACCGGGGGGGGCGGGGGGGGGTTCCATGACCGGGCGAGGAAGGGAGGGGGTGGACCTTACGGGGGGGGGGGGGGGGAACTGCGGGCCCTTTTTTTAAAATACAAATTCCTAAAAGAAGACAAATTCACCAATTCCA